CCCCAAAACCCCAAAACCCCAAAACCCCACCTCTGCTTAATAATATTAAAAGTGTGAAACCATAAATGGAAGTTGACCCCCAGACTAATTCACAAGGGCAGGCTGTGAAGCTATCAGGTATAACTAGCTTAGTAGCACTCCTGGCTGCTTTAGGGCTGGTTTAGCCACTTAGGGGACGGAATAGGCAAAGATCTATTGGGGGCCTGGAGAATATCAGAGAGAGGAGACACAAAATCTTACCCTACTTCAGTTGTAATGGAGGGGTTATGCCAGATGAGAGGGTATCACTTAGAAGCTTAATGTCTGGTGAATTTGTCCTGATGTGTCTGAGTTGTATTTCCTCTATCGAATGGATACTTTTTGGTCATGATTGTATCTACAGACAAGTTTAATCCCACTTTGAAGTTGCAATTCTGTTGATTTCCTAACATTACTTTAGCTCCAATGATTGATGAACAGAAGCAGAATAGAAAGTAAGCCATTGCGTCAGTATCCGACTCTCAGTCTTTAAAGACTTTAAAATCAAAAATTAGCTTTGTTTGCAATCTTTGGAGTCAATCTTTGAAGAGCTAGCATCCTAATCAAAGCATCACTTGTGATTTGGATATCCTCTCGAGTTAAATAGAATCTTTCTTTGATAGTTAATCGTCTTGCTATTGATTAGATGAAAAGCAAGACCAATTTTAGCTTAGATATCTGGTGAAGCTATCTGTCTACATTAGTTTAACACTCAACTTCTAACCCTTGACTACTAGAAGAGAAGAACAGATTCAACAAGAATCCTCCAACTTCGATGCTCAGATCTGAGAATACCTCTACTCTAAGATGGAAGGGACTGAAATCAAGCTCGAATCAGACACAACCCTCGTCTTGTTTCTGGATCAAGACAAGTAAGCAAAGAGTGTTGACTGCTCTAGCGACTGGAAGCTGCTGAAACAGTTTTCTAAAATGAAGATACCCAGAGTTTCCAGCATTATCCTACATCATGCTCCTTTGACAAAGAAGCATTTCATCAAGTTTGTTGTGAATTCAGTTCCGATTGCGATGGAGAGTCTCCATGTTACTGGAGTCCCAAATGAGCTCGAAACCAAGTATTCCAGCCTCCTTGTTCACCCGAAAATGGCTACAGCAAACAGCCTCTCATTGAACTGTTTCAAGAAGTAAGCTGAGTCTGACTCTGTAGTTTGAACGAAAAGCAGTTGAAGAGACTTTTCAAGACCAATAGACACAAGGAGTATCTGGCAATCAGCAGCTCCACATTCTCACTGTCAGAGGAGCCAGACTTCTCAGATTGCTTCAGAGAGGCTACTCTGCAAAGACTCAACCTCTATTTCTCCAAGATGGATAGAGACAATGGCTCAAACTCAGAGACTCATGACCTAGACAGCATGGTGTGTGCTCTGTCAAAGTCCCCAGACCTGCACAGAAGCATCGAAAGAATCTTCATCGGCAGTGCCAACTCTTCCTACAAGTTGAACGAAGAGACACTGGCTAAATACGGATTTGAATTTGAATAAAAATTCCTAAAACTTCTTCTTTGTTTAGGTTTACAATTCTGTTGTTTAGGACAGTGAGCTACACAAAATTTAAATTTAGTTCTCAATAATTCTGCATAATACTCTCTGGTAATAAACCCTCTAAACTTGTAAAGATAGAAACTTCAGAGGCTTTCAGATGATTTGCTACTTTCTTAGGTAAATTATTGGGACTACAGGCTTAGCAGCTTTATTTTTAAATGATACAAAATACTATTGAATGGGCGACTAACTGTACATTATTGATTTAAAAATAAAAATTTCATAACTTCTCTCACGAGAAACAATGTAAACACTTGAGATTTACACTTTTAGCATCGTAATATTTCAGGTTTTTCTGCATGATGGTGGGAAAAGGATTTTACCCTCTCTATTCACTTCCTCCAACAATCATATTTGGTTGATATTGAGCTATCATAGTGATCATTAATGCATTAATATTACAATAAGTTTTGACCTTCTCGCTCCATAACTATCAAAGATAATTTACTCAGCTTGTAAGAACTCTATTCACAGAGAATTTATCCAGGAAACTTCAAGGCATGATATGATACACTTTGTACTAATCTACCAACACCCAAGTGCTTATCTCTTGATGCATTCATTGATGAACCTTCCTATATCTTAATATCCTGGGTTGTAGAAGAGGAAAGACATCCCTTATTAAAATTAGAAGAGTTTAATCTTTTATTTTCAACCAAACTCTCTCCTCTTGGGGTTTTGGGGTTTTGGGGTTTTGGGG